GGGTTGGAACTGGATGATCTTTAAAGTCCCATCCGACCCTAAGTATTCCATGATTCTGTGATTTGGGACCTGCTTTGCTCCACCTGCTCCCCAGTGATCACCTTCTCCCCCCCCACGCCCTTGTCTTGGCAGCGCCGGGAGGTGGCCAAGACCGTGTTCTGCCTGGTGGTGATCTTCGCGCTCTGCTGGCTGCCCCTCCACCTCAGCCGCATCCTCAAGAAGACCATCTACGACCAGACGGACCCCAACAGATGTGAACTGCTCAGGTAGGAGCCCCAGCAGGTGGGCACCCAGCTGGCAGCCCCGGTGGCACCGGCACAGGCTGGTGGAGCTGCCTCCCAAACCCCGGTTCCCACGACTCCTCTTCCAGACGGCATCGCCGTCCTTGGATGGGCACAGAGAGGGGCTGGGGCACCACGAGAAGGGGTTAGGTTAAATTTTGAAATATCTCTGTCAGTCTGTGGGTTAAGGGAGTCTCCAGGGCAGGGAAACATTCCCAGCAGGGCTGTGCCCCTGTGGTGGGTGCCCACCTTCCTTCTCCTTTCCCCCACAAGCCAAGCGCCAGTTTGGGCCAGATGTGGCTGTGCTGGAGTTTGGGGACATGGTGGCACCAGGGTGTCACCAGGGGAAAGCAGAGCTCGTGCTTTTGGCTCCCTCAGGAAATGCTCCTTGCGAGAAAAAGTGGTTTTTCTTTGGCAAGGACTGTTTTGTGCTTAGCTCTCCGTTCTCAGTCCCCGACCCTCCGCGGGGACACGATCCCAGGCCGGGCGGTTTGGAATCTCAGTTCTCCATGAGCTTCCAACGCTCTTCTCTCCTCTCAGCTTCCTCCTGGTGATGGATTATTTTGGGATCAACATGGCCTCCCTCAACTCCTGCATCAACCCCGTGGCTCTCTACTTTGTCAGCAGGAAATTCAAGAACTGCTTCCAGGTAGGAGTGACCCCTCCAGAGCTCCCGGCTGTGCTGACTGATCCCAGATTTCAGTCCCAGGGACACAAGCTGAGCTTATTCCTCATCTCAAATTTTCCCCCTGCTAAGTACCTCTCTTCCCAGCTCCAAGTACACTTGAGCTTGGTGCCCTGCTATGGGGAGGCTTTTGCCAGAGTAGGATCTAGGACAAAAATTCCCTGTCCTTCTGGAGCAGGAGTATCCCCACAAACCACTAGGGTGGGGAGTGGGGCTGCTCCAAACTTTGAGTCCAAGTTATTTGGACATCATTGTCAGGAGCAGTGGAGCCCTGGGAAAGGAAGGGGATGGGATGGGATGGGATGGATAGAATAGGATGGGATGGGATGGGATGGGATGGGATGGGATGGGATGGGATGGGACAGGATAGGATGGGGCGGGACAGGACAGGATAGGATAGGATGGGGTGGGACAAGGTGGGATGGGAGGGGATGGGATGGGATGGGATGGGATGGGAGGAGATGGGATGAATGGTATGGAATGGGATGGGACGGGATAGGATGGGATGAGATAGGACAGGAATGGGATAGAATGGGCTGGATGAGATGGGACAGGATAGGATGGGATGGGACAGGATAGGATGGGATGAGATAGAACGGGATGGATAGGATGGGATAGGATAGGATGGGATAGGATAGGATAGGATAGGATAGGATAGGATAGGATAGGATAGGATAGGATGGGGTGGGACAGGATAGGATGGGGTGGGACAGGATAGGATGGGATGGGATGGGAGCCCTGCTGCTGTGGCAAAAGGAAGAGCTGAGCCTGTGTGTTCTGTCCCTTAAAGACAAGAAAACACAACTGTAAAAAGTGCCCACGATTTTGGGATTTTCATTTCCCATCCACACCGGCCCTATCCTGGAAATCCTGCTCCCAGCAGACCTGCAGGACATCAAGGCTCAGGAGTGCAGGCTGCAGTTCCCAGCCTGGCACTGCACAGGGTGACCTGCCAGCTCCAGTACCAGAACATTCCCTCCTCTTTTCCCCTGCATCCCACACTTGTGACCTTTCCCTCCCTCCTCTTGTCTCCTCACAGTCCTGCTTGTGCTGCTGGTGCCAGAGGCCCGCCCTGAGCATCACCCCCACGGACGAGAAGGGATCAGTTGGGAAGTGGAAAGCCACGGGGCAGGAGCTGGGGCTGGACCGGAGCAGCTCCCGCCTGAGTAACAAGTACAGCTCCTCCTAAACCCCGTCCCCCGTGGGGTCAAGGACAAGGCACAGGGCCAGGACAGCAGGACCCCTCTGCTCCTCTCCCGTGGCTCCTTCCTGGCTGGGCCCGAGTCACCTTTGCCTTCACGTTGTAACCCACCTGGCAGGAGCTGCAGCACTCCGTGGCCCCCCAGGCCCAGCTCTGGGCCCGGGCTCTGCCCCCCACCCTGAGGGAGGGGGAAGGGCATTCACATCCTTCCGGGATTGTTCATTTCCTTGCAGGAAAACCAAGTGACTTCTGGCCATTTGTCCGGGGGTGGAACGCGGGGCTGGGGGGGAGATGTGCGTGGAAAAGGGAAGGAAAGTTGGGATGTGGTCGCTTGGAGATGGATGTGGGATGAGGAGGGGAGGGAGAGGACCATGAGTGACAATTCCCAGCTGAAAGAGCAAAAAAAAAAAGAGCTTTGGTTGCTGGGCCTGGAGTCGGGATGAGATCCAGGGATGGCTGGCAGAGCACCAGTGGTGGGAACCCTCCTCCTGCTTGTGGTGGGGACAGTCACTCGGCCTCACTGTGTCACCAACCTGCCCCAGGGAGCCCTGAAAGCCCCCTTCTCTTCCCCTTTTCCTGGGAATCCTGCCCCAGACTCCTGAGCCGGAGGGGGGGTGAGTGGCACACGCAGGTGACCGTGTGTGACCGCAGGGTTTGGGGACCAGGAGTCCCCAGGTGTCACTGGGGGGAACATCCAGCCAAGCCATCGGGTCCAGCTTCCCCTTCCCAGGGCCAAGGGAGCGCCAGGATGGCTGGGGAATGCTGTTCCTTCCAGGGAAGAGTTGGTAGGCCCAGGAAAGGGAAGGCAGAGATGGCCCCAATCCAGGTGAGGCCGATCCCAAGGATCCAGCCCTCACCTTTCCAACCCCCCTGGAAGCACCTAATGCTCTGCTGGGCAGGTGGCAAGGGAGAGGATCCAGGTGTGCCCCTCCAGGAAAGCATCCAGCCTCAATCCAGGCTCCTCAGCAGCTGGAATGTCCTTCAGCCCACAGCTCCTGGGAGGGGGATCACCCGATCCAAAGGGAAAAAGGAATGCCCTGGATTTCGATGCCTGGAGTTGGTGTTCCCTCTGCCCTGTCCTGCCCAAGGGACACCAAGTTCCAGGGCATTTGGGAGGGGACAGAGACGTCCCTGTGGTCAACTGAAGGTGGCAAAGGCAGCGGGGAAGGTCCAATCTCAGCTGAAAGAGCCTCTGGAACGAACCGAAACATGGCAAAGAGCTTCCCCAAATTCCCTCCCGACAATATCAATCCCCTGAGTGATTTTCCAGCAATTTTCGACTGGACAGGGCTTGGAGCAACCTGGTCTGGTGGAAGGTGTCAGAGATGATCTATAAGATCCCCTCCAACCCAAAGCAAACCCAATTCCATGTTTATTCTAACAACCTCTTGCCAAAAGTGTAAGAAAATCTACATGGAAAAGTTCCAGTTACCAACGCTTTGATGATTTTCTGTTGGTTTTCCCTTCTTTATTATCCCTCTTTTTATTTCTTTCCCCTTTTCACCTTGCCATAGGAAAAAAGAAGTGGAGAGAGGAAAACGGGAGAAAAGACTTGCAATTAAAACGTTTTCCAGGTGTTGGGGTTTTTTTTAGCTGCAAATGTTTTACAAACAAGTCATATTTCTGAAAGACAAATGGGTTTCAAGGCAAGCAGACACTGAGGAATAGGTAGACCTGCCTGTTTTCCATACATTTCCCAACCTACTGGAGTAATTTCTGTCTGTGTTGCAGTGCTGCTGTTGGGCCCTGGCTGCATTTGTTGAAGTCAAAAGAGAAAATTGATAAAGACTGAGATGTTCCAGCTCAGACACCTTAGTAAAAGGCTATTTTTTAATGATTCTGCTTATAAAAAGATCAGAATTCTGTGTATTTCTGTATTTGTCCACATTTCCAGGCAAATGGAGTCTGTGATTTCAACTCCCACTGTTACGTGGGACCACGCTGGCATGGGCAGGATGGATCCCTGGCAGCAATCCCACAGGAAAAGGAGCTGGATTAGGAAACCCAAGGTTCAGCTGGTCCCTTGGCACAACCCCAGCACAAACCTGCCAGCAAGACCCACTTTGCCAATTCCTGTTTGACAGAGTGATTTTAGAGAGAAAACCTGACCTTTCCCTTCCTGCCTCTCCCTCCTCCATATGTTCCTAATAAAACAGGGTGGTGTTTGAAAGGAAAACCTCTGGTACTGAGCAGCAGGGGGGCTGCAAAGTCTCTTAAATACTTCCTTGAGTGGCAGCAGGTTCCCTTGGGGTGAGCCTTGTCCCTCCTCCACGTGCTGAGCAACCCAGAAAGGTTCCCAAGCCCTCAAAGCCCTGTGATTTCACACCCCATTACACCCTCTAAAGCTTGATTTGAGCCCTTTGGCTCCCTGAGGGCTCAGACTTGTTCTGTGCACCTGATTCTGCACCTCTGACCTGGAAATCCTGGGGAGAAAACAGCAAAAACACTTGGAGAGGGGAAGAAATATGATGGGAGAGTGACAGAACTGCCTTCTCTCCATCATTTTTATCAGGGTGTGTAGAGACAGGACAAGGGGGAATGGCTTCATACTGACAGGGCAGGGTTTGGTGGGATACTGGGAAGGAATTCTTCCCTGGGAGGGTGGGAAGGCCCTGGCACAGGTTGCCCAGAGAAGCTGTGGCTGCCACTGAATCCCTGGAAGTGTCCAAGGTCAGGCTGGATGGGGCTTGGAGCAACCTGGGATAGTGGAAGGTGTCCCATGGCAGGGGGTGGCACTGGATGAGCTTTAAGATCCCTTCCAACCCAAACCATTCCATGATTCTGTGGCTTTCCACACCTGTGCTGAGCAGAATTCAGTGTCACCTCTGCAGCATCTAAATTAATAAACTTTATTCATAGAGAAAACACAGTTTGCATCAAAGCCGTGAAAGAAACAACCAAAAAGAACCAGCTTGGACCCAGGGAATTCAACACACGGACGTCACACACATCCAGGGGCACATCCGTGGGACATCCATGGGGACATCCGTGCCATCTCCAAAGGCTACTGCATCTCCTCCTCCCTCTGTGCCCTGTACTCCTTCATGCTCCTCTGCAACAAGAGCACAGGACCAAAGTCAGCAGCACGGCCCTGGGTGACTCGTGCAGCCCAGTGCCACCACCCTGCAGTGCTGGGACTTCTCTGCCCAGAGCCTGGAAAGGCTGGGAAGCTCTGACAGAGCTCCAGGTGCTTTTGGAAGTGACTGATTTTCACAGTCACTCCAAGGGAAAGGAAGCCGGGCGGAGGATGCCCAAGGAAAACCATCAGGTTTTCATGGCAAAGGCGCCTCCAGCACAGGCCTTGGGGACAGACACAGGACCGAGAGATGGAAAAGGCTCCTGAGCTCCTCAGGAATGGTCTCACCTCAAAGGTGCTGAGCACGTGCTGGCAAACAGCCATCAGGTCATTGAGCCCCTTCCGGAACGGCTCCACGGCTGGAAGGGCCCCTGTGGGAAGGGAGCCGGGTCAGGGGCACTGAGGTGGCTCCAAAAGCTGGGTCAGGGGCACTGAGGTGGCTCCAAAAGCTGGGTCAGGGGCACTGAGGTGGCTCCAAAAGCTGGGTCAGGGGCACTGAGGTGGCTCCAAAAGCTGGGTCAGGGACACTGAGGTGGCTCCCAAGGGCTGGTGGCCTCTCCCTGGGCAGTCCCCACCTCCCCCTGGGTGTGTGCCCACTCACCCCCTCCTGCTGCCCACCCGGGGCTGAGCTCCCTGTGCCAGAGCCTGCTGCCAGCCAGGGGAGCTGCTTCCCGCTCCAGCTGGGAACAGGAGCTGGAGCATCCCACTGGGAGCAGCCTCAGGCTCAGCCATGGGGCACAGCACTGCAGAGGGGAGGTGAAAGGGCTTGGCTTTGCTTAAATGAGTCCTGCTGGGAACCTGGCATGAGCAGGGGGGAATTCCATGAAAAAAGGAGCCCAACCAGGCAGGAACAGCCCCCAGCCCTACCTCTGGTCTGGATCCTGAAGTTGATCTTGCTCTCTGAGGGGTGTGTGATGCAGTAGCCACAGAACTCCACGTCAGGGCTGCGGGAGGGGAGAGAGGAGAGGGAGCAGTGAAAGCCAGGCCACCCCACAGCAAAGCTCAGGGAAGTTGGAGCCAAGACCTGCTGGAGCTTGGGATGTTTCTACCATGATTTAGGGTCTTATGGGAGGGATTTGCTGAGAGGAAACCACTTGTGGAACCTTCACCCCCCCATCTGTCCCCGAGCTGCTGCTGGGGGGGTGCTTTGCTGCTCTGCAGGGCAAAGACCTGGCTGGCACCCTGTAGGCACCATCCTGGCACCACAGCCAGTGCAGGGGCAGCCCTGCAGAGTCCAAACAGGGAATCCTGGATGCTTGGAAGCCTCACTGTACCCAAAGCTGCTGCAGGAAAAGAGGCTGATGGGCCCAGGGCAGTGCAGGAGTTACTGAGGTGCCTCTGCTCCAGCAGCTGAGAGGGGTGGGAGAAATTTGGCCCCCCCAGCAAAAAGAAGAGCCCCTTTCCTGCCAGCAGCTGTTGGTCTTGGCACAGAGATTTCTCAGAAGGACTGACATGACACTGCAAAGCAACTGCTGTCTGAGATGGTGCCTTGGACTCCCTCCTGCAATTCTTGTGAGGTTTTGCCAGCAGCTCTTCACCAACCCCCAGCCCTGCCCAGGGTGATGACATTAAGGAACCAGGGGGGACCTGTCTGGCCATCCCAGCTCTGGGATCCTCAGCACAGGAAACATGTGGAGCTGCTGGAGGAGTCCAGAGGAGCCTACGGAGCTGCTCCAAGTGCTGGAGCCCCTCTGCTCTGGAGCCAGGCTGGGAGAGCTGGGGGGGTTCACCCGGAGAAGAGAAGGATCCAGGGAGAGCTGAGAGCCCCTTGCAGGGCCTAAAGGGGCTCCAGGAGAGCTG